CCGTCCCCCGGGGGGAAGGGGGGGGGGGCGCGCGCCTCACCTGGACCCCGGTGTAGTTCTCGAAGAAGAAGAGCACCATGTTCTGGTAGACGCAGTAAAGCCGGTCGTCCACGCGCTGGTACAGGCGGGCGGGCAGCAGCGCCGACAGCACCCGCCACAGCGTCCAGGCCAGCAGGTAGGTGGGCGCCGAGCCCAACATCAAGATGCTCGGGAGCAGGTAGCGCATAGAGTACGTGTGGAGCACCAGGGACAGCAGCATCCTCTCGGCTCGCCAGCCGCCGACTCCGCCTGCGTTGCCCGCGCGGCCGCCAGGACCTCAGCCACCGCCGGCCGCCCGCCAATCACCGCGCGGGGCCGGCCGCGCCGCCGCCCTCCAGCCTGGCTCCGCCCCCAGCATGGGCCGCGGGGGCCCCCGGACCCGGCGGGGACTGTGGCGGCCCCGGCTCGCCGCCACCGCGGAAAGGGCACGCCTCGGCTTGCCGGGCGCGCTCGCCTCGGGGCGCTCGCCTCTGCGCGTTCGCTTGGCTCCCCCGGGCGCACCGCGCCTGTCAAGCGGGGAGACGGCGTGAGGCGGGACCTCCGTGGCAACAAGGCGCCTCCTGATTGGCCGGCTGGCGGCCGTAACACGCGCTCTGATTGGCCCGGACCCGGCCGCGTCACGACGCATGCTCGGCTGCGGATGTTGGCTGTGGCTGAGCCCGGGAAGATGTGAGAAGGTGGGTTTGGGCCTAGGCGGGCGTTCAGCCTTGGGCCAGCCTGAAGACAGCGGCGTGGGGACACGAGGATGCGCCCTGCAAGACACGCGTGAGCCGACTCGGGTCGTGGAGCGCAGGAGGAGCTCAGCGCCGCAGGTTACTAACGGGCGGCTGCAGCCCCTTGGCGTGCCGGAGGGCCACCCGTGTCCCCGAGGGCATAGGAAGCGCTCCTTCCCGCCCGATCGATGCAGAACGAGGCCGGGTCCGTCTCCCGGAGCCTTGGTTCCCCTTTCCCAGGACTGTCTCCTCCCTTTATTAGACCCTTCCAAGTTCCACTCTTGCTTCGCTTTGCAGCTTCTTTCTCTTTACCTTGTTTCTGCTGTGCTTTTTCCTACTAGCCTACGTCTCTCCTTTTTTTTTTTCAATGTATAGAAAAGCGCTTTCCTAGACATGTAGAATCCATAAGTTCTCTTCCCGCCAAAAACTAGAAAGGTTAAGAAGCAGTAAAAACCTATCCAGAAGTCTGGGCCCTTCTGCCCTAACTCGTGGAGACCAGGCAACCCTGGACTGGAAGGTATAGAAGAAAACAGGTCCGTGTGCACATTCAGATTTGTATAAGGTCAATTTTAAATTGTGTGTGCGTGTGTAAATATGTTGATTTCTGTGAGCGACCCTGAGGTAATTACTGACTCTGTTGTCTCCCTTTCCAATCCAGACCACTGAATCATCATCTTCCCACCACTTGTCTCTCCTTCCTTGTCCTTCACTTTCCTTCATCTCTTGCCCCACGTTACTTTCCCATCACCTCTGAAATGGGCTTAAGGCACACAGATGACTCCATGACGTATGCACACTATGTCAGAAACAGATGGACGTGTTTATGTGCATTCACAATATCGGAATTTATTGAATTACAGTCAATTCAACAAGTACAGTGGTTTCACTGGCACCAAAGAGTCCCACTTTACTTGGTAGCTCTGGCTAAGGCAAACACAGGTTCATTTACTGCAGTAGTAATTACTAATATTAACTGAGATCCACATACATCACTCAGTAAGTTTGTCTCTATATGTTTATGTATATGTATATGTGTGTGTGTGTGTGTGTGTGTTACAGTGCCTACAAAGGGTTAAAAAGGGGCAAGGAGTTTAAAAGCCTTGGGAAGCCAAAGCTGAGAAACTGATAGGGATGCAAGAGTCTCTGTATTGATAACATATAAACCAGCTGCAGGGAAGAAGCTGCTGTTCCTGGGCCACTGTGGGTCACAAATTTGACAAAGTGTCCAATGTAATCCAGATGCAGAGGTGAAAGGACAGGACATAGTCCAGACAAAGGAACTGTTAGGCAGATGGACTGCAGATCCACACTGGCAGATGAGCTGTTGATTGACCCCATCAAAAGCAGGGACTGAGCCAACCTGAAGGTCTCTGGAAATTCGGGGTTCTCTGCATGTTGGCCAGTGGCATACACCAGATAGTTAGATGACCCATTTGTGGAAGCATTGACATCACAGTGTTAGATGTCAGCCTTTGTTGACAGAGAAACAAGATTTCTGATACAATCATGAGCCTGAGGCTCTCTCTCTTCCCAACCATAAAGTTTCCATTTCCAGGAATCTCACTAGAAATTTCATTTATAGGGGAAAGACATGCATTAAACCCTTTGTATAGCCTCAGTGGCTTTTTACCTTGTAAGATTATAATCCTGGCTATCTCTGTAGCCCCAAATTGATACAGTCTAGAGGTCTTGATCAGATTCGTTTTTGTGGCAGCAGAGAAATCTCAAACCGCACAGACAGAATTAGTAGTTGAAGAAAGGTGACTATTTGGGGTGAGGAAACATGCACACAGCAGACATACAGGGGAAAAAAAAGACCCTCTACAAAGCAGAGACTCAGCCAAAAAAATCTAATCTCTTCTTGGGGCTGGGATTTTTAAGCCTCTAAAGAGTGTTCCCCTAATTTAGGGTTGGTCCGTCAGTTTGAAGAAATACAGGAAGTTTGATTGGCCAGCCACTGTTCAACTGTTGTATAACTTGTTATCAAGCCTTGAACTTGTTGAACTAGTCCATCAGCAGGGACCTGCTGGGTGGAAGACAAAAGCCAACAAGGCTTTGGTTGTAGGCTTCCAGGCTTTTGTCTCCAGTCAGGAGGGCCAGGAAGAAGCCAGCCATCTTGGAAATTCTCTACCTTTAATGCCTAGCCATGGCCCCTCTCCCTGTCTGTCTACCAGGGCGACTGTCTAATTCCTAGTTTCTCAAGTGAGGTACTGTTTCTGTTTTCCTCATCACTAAGAGGGTAACTTTTTATATTTTCTCTCATGAGCCTGACACCTTCCTGTTATCACTCAAGAACACAGTATTTCAAAGTGGACTCAAGGAGGAAACTCCAGGACATTTGGAGAGGGAAAGAAAGGTAGGCAAACAAGATGTTTTTTGAGTTAGGGGTCAAGAAAACAGGCATGCTTCATCAGGAATTCCTCAAGCAATGGAACTGTGGGGGGGGGGGGGTGGTGCTAGAGAGGGTGAGAGTGAGAAGACCTGGAGTGTCAGAGCACGAAAATTTAGGAGTTTGACTGTTGTCTTAAAAAAGGAAGTAGAGGGAAGAGAAAATGTTGTGGTTTCAAGTGGGCAGGCTTAGCAGTGAGGGGCTATAAACAGTTAAGGGGAGGACTTGTAAGGACCAGTACATGTTTTGAGGCGTATCATTTCTTTCCCCTTTCTGGCTTCAAGCTGTCTTCCCAAGATTGTAAAACAGTACTTTCTACTCATCACAGTACGTCTTTGGCTTTGCCTGGCCAAGGGTGGCTTCTGCTGTCTACATCAAAATACGTTATCAACCACTGACCATTTGCAAAGGGGGTCAGTGAGCATTAACCATGCTGCTCGTGTCGTTGCCACACTGATATTTATATGTCCCAAATGGGTCTCCAGACATGGAAGGCACCTGCTGTCTGCAACAAAAAGGATGTGGAGCACATCATTTTTTACTAGAGGAAGTGCACGTAGATGTGTGCATTATGTCACCACACCAATAAAGCCTGGAAAGCAGCTGACTACCAATGGCCCTTTTGACTCCCCTTCTCACTACCTAGCATCCCCTATCACCAACACTTGAACTTTCTTGAGTAGTGTTGTCATAGCAACTTTTGTGACTTTTCAAAGATGTATGATGAAACTGCCTAACTCAGTGAATAGTTTCTAAATATCCCAAGCATAGTGTTTATAGGATCATACTTGAGTACACGTTTTTTTTTCTGAATGTCTGTCTTTGTTAATGTAACAGTACCAAAATTACCTCATCTTGAAGAAGCTATGAGTTCCTGACCTTTTGGTGCAGTATGATAAAAGAATGGTCACATTATTTGAAAAGGCTACTAAAATGCTCTCTTTCCCCCGAAATCTGAATCTATATCTGAATGAGACCAGATTTTATTCATTGGCTTCAACCAGCTGTTGCAGAATACACAGCCCTCACTTCAAAGGGAATAAGAGATCATTTATTCTAGAGCCAAATAAGAGTGACCATGGGAGGGAACACAGATTTGGGTTACTACCAAATACCATTCTTCAACATGGTAACAGTTTCATGATGTTTTAATAGTAACTCAACCAAGGAAGTGATCAATCAAGTTACTTTTCAGATACTTTGGTGGATGTGGACGCATCAAATAGGCTACAGTGAAGTGGGTAACTCTCTGCTATAGGCTTCAGATGTTATGACATTTGTAGCCTTTGGGTTATGGAAGCTATAGGTCATGACTGTATATTACAGAAGTATTTACCTAATAATCATGAGGATGTTAGGTCACACAGGTGGGCAATAAATGGCTATTTAGAGAGCTAAGGATAACTCAAGGTAATTGGACTCTAGACTTGCAGCATTCCAGTCTCCACAATTCAAATAAGTTCTAATCAGTCAGTCAGCCTTGTTTAACATGTGTTCCCCTCCCAGTGTCTTCTTTTACACTTGGCAGTAGGGAGATTAGCAGAAATAAAAATGTAAGCAGACCATCCTTCTTACTAATTTTTTATTGTTTTAAAAATATAGTGTGTGTGTGTATGCTATTTAAAGTATAAAAGGTTTATTTCTAAAGTATAAAAGCTATATTTCTAAAAGAATTAATAAATGACATGATGGAGGAACCCATTTGGGAGGTTCTCTTGTTTTGAGATAGTCCCACTGTGGTTCCCAGGATGGTCTCACACTGCTGAGCTCAAGCAGTCCTTTCATGTTCTAGGACTATAGGCCTATACTAGTGTGTCTGGCTCAGGAAGTCAGGTCCCCCCCCCCCCCCCCCAGGAGCTGAGGACCGAACCCAGGGCCTTGTGCTTGCTAGGCAAGCGCTCTACCATTGAGCTAAATCCCCAACCCCAAGGAAGTCAGTTTTTTAATGAAGCTATACTGTGGGATGGTCTTCCTGTATGCTGTGAATATGATTTATTACCATTGCTTAATAAAGAAGCTGTTTTGGCCTATAACAAGGCAGGATGGAGCCAGGCAGGAAATCCAAGTAGAGATACAGGAAGAAGGACAGAGTCAGAGCAGACTCCATCGAGCCAATGGGGCAACAAGATATACTAGAGAACAGGTTAATACCATGAAGCCATGGCAAAATACAGATTAATAGAAATGGGTTAATTTAAGTTGTAAGAGCTAGTTAGTAATAAGCCTGATCATTGGGCCAAATGGTTTGTAATTCATATTAAGTCTGAGTGATTATTTTAAAAGCGGCTGCAGGACCAGGCAGGTCAAAAAAGCCTCTGTTTACAAAGCTGGCATGTAAAATGCAAGACAAAGGGGAGAAATAAGAAGTCTTTCATGAAATCCTCAAGTCTGTATTCCTGTCAGGAACCCTAACAACACAAGGAACAAGGCTACTTAATCGTGTCAACCAACCGTGGAACCCACCCCTCCAGTTATACAAACCAAAAAAATGTTTATTACGGTATTTGTTCATTTTGCATTAATTTGGCAAAATACCTGACAGAAATAAGTGAGAATTTTGGTGCCTGGTCTCAGAGGGTTTCAGGCCATGGTGATAGGGAAGACTGAGGCTGTCACATCTGAGGAAGCAGAGAGCAAGGCCAGAACCAGGGCAAGGCTATCATCTTCAAAGGGCTGTCCATATTGATACACTTCTGCCAAAAGGTCAGGAGCATTCTAGAATAGCACCACCATTGCAAACATGACCCTGTGGGGATATTCAGATTTAGGCCATAACAGTTACTAATCCCTGTTTGAGGTAGGCTTTCCATTATCACTTATCCTGCCATCCATGTTAAAACCTCCAGGTAACTGTATTCCCCTGATTCATTACCTGTCGATATCCAACAGGCACTAGAGACAATGATTAGTACTTAGGTTTCTGATGCTGATGTAGAGTCTGGCAACAGATTTCTAAGAAGCAAGGTGGATAAGGTCTGTCTGCTTGGTGGAACATAATGTCAGTGGTAAGAGACAGACAGTTGAAACTACTTACAAGAGCCAGAGATTTAAAACAGAAAGATGTGTACAGTAGAGTGAGTTATACAGTGGCATCTTTAAACACTAATACTAAAGGATGCTCAGGATAGGACACTTAAGTTAGGAATATGATGGTCATGCAAAGATGAAAGACCAGCACTCCCAAGTGAGGAATCAGCAAATGATGAAGTCTTGAGGAGGTAAGGAGGTCAGTGCTCAACATGCCCAACTCTTCACCCCACCCTCTACCCATCAGCATGCGCTACTGATTTCGACATCACGATACACCCTATCCATCCCTATCTCAGTGACACACTTCCCAGACACCAGTTGGTCCTTGATCTGTGTGATTATAACCACCTCTGAACTAGTGTCCTTGGGCCCACCCATATGCCTATTGTACTCTATTCACTAAACCCTCTACAGAGTAGCTGGTGTGGGCTAACTTGTGCTTTCCCAAATGCATATAAAATTCTCCCTCCTGCACCTTGGAAAGTGGTCTTATTGTATAGAAGGTCTTCATAGAGGTAGCCAAATTAAAAGGAAGTGATCAGGGTGGATCTCAGCCACTTTAACAACACTTTGGGATACAGACTCTCAAAGTAGGTGGCCTGGAAAAGAGACACAGAACAAAGCCACCTGTCAGCCAAAGAGATAACCCAGGAACAGGCCCTCCCCTGCCAGTCCTCAGAACTCTATCCCGCCAGAGTCTCGCTTTCCATCCTCTACTCCCAAGATGGCGACAGTAGACCTCTGTTCGAGCCCCAATATGTGGTGCTTGGTTACCTACCCCTAGCCAACAAATACAGGAGGCACAGATCCTTGTGTTACTTCTCTGCTGGAAATGCTCCTGCCTCAGTAAAACCTCAAAGTCCTATCTCTGGTCTGCAATGCTGTGTTCTGAACCACCTCTATAGCTGCATGGGCATGGATCTGTCAAGACTCAGGTGCACAGCATCCAAACGTTCAGGACTGAGCCACCCTCCACTCTTGAATTTTTGTCCCAGGAGACTATTCCCTAGGAAGATGAAGGTGTATGCAGGGCATTCATGATAAGGGGTGAATGTATGCCACAATATGTGTGTAGGGGTCAGAGGACAACTTCATGGAGGCAGGTCTCTCCCGTCTTCACATGACTTTCATGAACTTTTACTTGCTGAGCCATCTTTCCATCCTAGAACTAGAACTTATGAAGCAGAGTATCATGTTTATACCTTCAGGATTCTTGAAAAAAAAAAATCAAAATTTCACTTGTTTAAATCTATTCTAGGTTTTAGTTTGCTTCAGCCAAACCTAGTACCATTATAAACCCCTTTGTTCTGCTTCTGTCTTAGTACATTATTTCTGTGTGACATGATGGCTAGAATGGAGGATCCTAGTGAGGAGCTTTATTTTGCTCTTGCTGTCTTTCTACAGTCTGGACCAATGCACAGCAGGTAAGCCCATAAATACTCCTTGACTAAACTGAAGAGGAAATCTGCACTCTAGGAAGACATGCTTTCCTGGGAGTTACTTAAGTGCTTGGCAAACAGCTTTATCTTCTGGGAAGAAGTTCCTGGCAGAAGTTGACTCAGTCTGACAGGTCAGTAGCTGCACAGCTAAGATGCTAATCCCCACTTGTGAGATATTTATGCAGTGTTTTCTCTGCCCGTGTGTCTTCTTTGGAAGGCATTCGACAGGCACTGCCAAGCAAGGCAGCATCACAGTCAGCCTGTTCTAGAGAATCACTCCTCTCCCACCAGGTAACTGGATCCAAGGTGATTAAGTCCTGGACCAGCTGAGACACTGTTGATGGCCATACACAGCTAAGCGCTGGATTTCAGTAGTGGTGTGACTCCAAGTCATGAACACAAATCACAAATGCCATGGATGGCCTGAACAGATGAGCTTGGAGAGAGAAACAGCTTGTGTACCTGTCAGGAAGGACAAAGTCAGATGCTCTGAGGCATCCTGCTGACCACCAGCAATGACACGTTCCATGACAGTTCCTGATTCTTATAAAGAACGGCCTTTTCCTGTTGTATTAGAGTGGGCTTAAGATCTTTGCATAGAAGCAATCTCTAGCTAAGACAAGGTCCTTAGGATACCACTCAGCTCTCTCCAGTCTAGCCCCACCTGTCTGAGATCTCATCCCTTGCTGACTTTCCAATGTTGATACTTTACACAAACTGTTTTTCATTCTCTAGAAAAACATCACTGTTTCATTTTGTAGTATTTTGCGGGGCATTTACCCACCAACCCCATAGCTCCCCAGAGTTTTAAGTGAGAGCAGCAGGAAATATTAGATAGAAGAATTTAGAGTGTGGAGATAAACAGAAAATACAGGATAGCCTCGAGAGGGCCTAGAACCTATTCCAATGGGCCCTGACTGTCTCTGCCCCAGGGTATTTATAGAGACACCAAGGGGTGGAGCAAAAGACCTCCCCCCTAGTACCATCTCAGACACCTGCACTCAGTCAGGCCTGTGGTCCTAATCATCCTCTATGCAGACCTGCTGGGTAAAGCCACTAGGAACCTGAAAATGGGCTTCCACAGTGTTTGAATACATGCTGTCATGTTAATCCCACAGATGGGAGAAGAAAGACCACTGGCCCAAATGGGGGCAAATAAAATTAAAGCAAGCTATTTTTATTCTTATACTCAGGCTGTCTCCCACTAAGGCTGGGTTCAAGAGGTCAGCACTGGATGTGAGGAAGATAAAGTTAAAAAAAAAATAAATAAGGTTTAATAAAAACATTAGCTCAGGATGCCTGAGCTATAAAAACCTTAGATTTTAATAGCTAATATAGATAAAGATAATATAATAATATATAGCTAATATAATATAGAAAATAGGGGGGTTCCAAGTGGGAGATTGGGCAGGCAAGTAAGCAGGGGTCACAGAAGCGGAACATAAGCATAACAAGTTGGTCCTAACAACCTTTTGAAATGAAGTCATGGTTGCACAGTGATCCTAACAGTCTCTTGAAACAAAGACATGGTTGCTCTCTCCAGAACAGGCAGGACAGAACTGTTTGTAGTTGAGATGACAGGCGCGGCATAGCCCAATCCTTGAGAAACACATTTACTCATAAACAGAAATGAACCTAGTTTATCTTTACTACAACTTGGCTTTCAAGCCTAAGATGGAGGCAGGCTGGTTTAACAATATATGCTGGTAAGCTCTTCCTTTCTAGTTTGTACACTGCTGACACCTTCACACTATTTTTCTTCCTGCCAAGAGCATGCCCAGGCTTGTGTGCCCTGGTTCCTCAGGCAGAAGCCTCTCTTCACAACACTGGGATGTCTCCACTAGGACTCATCATAAGGCACTGCAACTGATTGAGGAAAGGCTATGTTCATTCTTGGAAGTCTCCAGCTGTGGCTGCTCTCAGGCACACCTGCTACTCGGGTGTTTTTGACTGAGTCTAATTTTCAGCTGTAGGTTTTGATGCTCTGATAATTGATGCTGACTCTGATGTACGGATTAGTTCTCTTGAGTTTCTAACATTTATAAAAGAAATCTTCCTACCAGACATCAAAGCCTGAAACATTTAAAAAAATGTTTAATGTTTATAGCAGAATGTACCACTACTACTTACAACTTATACCATGTTCCTTTTCTAGTCTGGAGAATTGGCTCAGAGGTTAGGACCACTGGCTGCTCTTTCAGAAGACACAGGTTCAATTCCCAGAACTCATGTGGCAGCTCACAACCATCTGTAACTGTAGTTCCAGGAAATCTGACAACCTTTTTCTTGACTCCAAGGGCACTGGGCACACATAGACATACATGCAGGCAAAGCACTCATACATTAAAAAAAATTTTTTTAAAGCCTTAGCACCCACCCTATGTGTGATTCGGTGGCTGGCAGGGGCTGCCAACTCCTCTACAGAGCTGCCCATCTTCTGCAGCTGTAGCACCAGGCCTAGACTTCGTTCCCCTTGGGTTGTGATGCTGGTGGCCCAGCTCAGAATTTATTAAACCTTTCATTCATGGCCTCTTTATACCCAGGGGATTTTTACATGACTTCAGGTATGTAACTACCTTAGTTTCTTTCCCCATTGCTGCAAAAAAGTACCCTATCAAAAGCAGCTTAAGGGAGAAAAGGTTTGTTTAGTTTAGAGTGCCACATACAGTCTACCACAGTTGGGTAGTCAAGGCAGCAGGAGCTTGAAGCAGCTGGTCACATTGTGTCCACAGAAGAAAAGAGCAGTGGGCACAGGCTTGCCAGTGTTGAGCTTGATATCACCAATTTATACACTAGCTGTCTTAATATGTATGCTGGCTAGTTTTTTTTTTTTTTTCCTGAACAGCATATTCCTTCCAGATTTTTCTGCTCTGGCAAGAGCTTTATTTATTAGTTAACAGCATTGCTAGAAACACTCCTTTTAAATCTTTCAAAACCTGAATGTGCCCATGAGGTTCTAGCTATCAACCTCAAGCCTTCAACAAAAGACCCATCATTCTCCTAGCATCATCTCACTTCAGACTCACGGCATGTGTTGAGTTAAATTTGGTTTCCTGATCACTTTCATATTTTGTTGTTCATTCTCTCTTTGCCAGTGAACTCCAGCAGTGTATGTGTGTGTGTGTTTTACCATGGAGCACACAGTACCAGGGTCACAATGGAGAAGAGAGAGGGTCCTCACCTGCACAGGCCCAGTGCCTTTGCCTTTCTTTTTCATTCAACAAACATGTTACTAATTAACTCGTTCACTGGCTGCAAGTAACAGAGAGTGAAGCAGCAACTACCTCAAGACTTTAAGAGATAAACAACAGTCGGGAAGAGAAAATGAATACAGATGTCAAAAATAGGAGCTAAAGAGATGGCTCAGCAGTTAAGAGACCCTCAGTTCATTTCCCAGTACCTACATAGCAGCTCACAACCATCTATAACTGTAGTTCGATGGGATCCAGTGTCCTCTTCTTACGTGCAGACAGACATGCAGAGAAAAACACCCATATACGTAAAATACATAATAAATCTTAAAGGCATAGTTTTCAAAAACAGGGCTTGCAGGTGATGGCTTCTCCAGTGCAGGTCCTTGCTGTACAAGCCTGATGACCTGAGTTTGGTCCCTGGGATCTACTTAGAAAGCTGAGTGCAGTGGCTCACATCTATAATCCTAGCACTTTGAGTAAGAGATGGGAGGGAGAGGCAGGAGAATTGCCCAGGGGCTCACAGGCCAGCTAGCACAGAATAAGCAATGAAGAAATAGAACAGAGGAGATAACCTCATCACAAGCTGAGGAGAGAGGATGGACTCCTGACCTCCACATGCATGCCTGGTACATGCTTGCACACACACACACACACACACACACACACACACACACACACACCATACACATATAGAACCCACCACCTTTTTTTTTTTTAATGACTAGGACTTGTGATTAGTATTTTTGTTATGGTAGAGCGCCACTGCATTTCTCAGGCTCGCCTTGAATTTGGGACCCCTTGCCTCCCAAGGGATGAGCTTACAGGCTGTACTCAAGTACAGCTTGAGTTTTCATTCTTGCTTTAACCACAGTTGCCCTTGATTGAGGTACAGAACCATGTGATGGGCATAAAGGGCACAAGTTCCAAGTTCCAGGAAGAACCCCTCCTTCCCATTAGAGAGCCCAGCAAAGCCTGCTGTAAGCAGACCATGAGTGGCAAATCCAGCTTCTCCTTCCCCTTCATCCCCACCCCGTTCTCCCCAACTCTCTCCTTTCCTCTCTCAGCCCCTCCCTCTTCTCTTTCCCTGATGTCTCCCTTCCTGCTCCTCTCTCCCACTTTCCTGTCCCACCTGTAGCTTGAGTTTTCCTGCCTGGCCCACAGTCAGGACAAATCTCTGACACCCGCCAGTCCCTCAGCTACTCAGACCAAACCAAGTAAACACAGAGACTTATATTGCTTACAAACTGTATGGCCGTGGCAGGCTTCTTGCTAACTGTTCTTACAGCTTAAATTAATCCATTTCTATAAATTTATACCTTGCCACATGGCTCGTGGCTTACCGGCATCTTTACATGCTGTTTCTCATCATGGCGGCTGGCAGTGTCTCTCCCACCCAGCTTCCTGTTCTCTCAATTCTCCTCTCTGTTAGTCCCACCTATACTTCCTGCCTGGCCACTGACCAATCAGTGATTTATTCATTGACCAATCAGCAACACATTTGACATACAGACCATCCCACAGCACCCACCCTTCTTTCCTCTCCTCCTTGTCTCCTCTTTCCTCTCCCTTCTCCCATGTTTTCTCTTCTCCTAGCTACTCCACCTTACAGATCTACACAATTGCAGTGGGGACACACAGCTAAAACTCCAGTGTAAAACTAGTTATGACCAAAGGACCCTGGAAAAGGAGTCTTGGGAATCAGCAATGTGGGAGATTCCAAAGATAAGGGTCCCTCTCATTATACCTCCACAGCCCACTGAGGGAGGTCTTCTGGAGTTGAAATTGTAGAATAGACCCAGAGGGGTATAGAAATGCTTTGGGAAACTGGACGGTCTATAGAGGGAACAATCTCAATCTGCAGAAACAAACCAGACTGCTTTAGCTCATAGCACCATGAGTCTCAAAAGGTAATGCTCAATTTGTCCAAGACAGAATGCAGAATTGTCTGACAAAACAAAACAAAGACAAGAAATGGTGACCACCAGTGCCAACCAGGAAATGGCTCAGACTCTGAAATTAGCAGACAGTTGAAAGCATCTGTTATAACCACAGCTAAAATAAAGGAAGAGATGGGGCTAGATTCCATTTTGTTTTTGTGGTATTGGGCACAAACTGGGATTTTGAACCCAGGGCATCACATATGCCAGGCAACTGTTCTTCCACTGAGCTATATATACCCTCAGCCCTAGGAATAGATTTCACCAGAGAATAGGAAGATGAAGAGGAACATACTCTAGGACTGAAAGACTCAGCATAACCTGAGAAAGAAAAGTTTACCAGGCAGCTCAGAAATAGATGCAAATGCCAGAGAGACCATAGCTTTCCTGGCCTAGGGGCAAAGTCATACATCAGTACAGTAGAGAGATGGTTGAGCAGGGAAAAGTTATTTGAGAAGTAATGCCATGTTTAGAATTAATAACTTAAGGAAAACATAAACCCAAGTTAACCTCAATCAGGACAAACTTGAAAACTGCTAAGAAACCACATTGGTGAACTACCACAGGAAAGAGGAAGAGGAGGAGGGCCAGATAAAAACAACTAATTACATGACAGAATATCAGAAAAGAAAGATTTGAGGCTTTTCCTCAGAAAAAAAGCTTAAAGACAAACACAAGCCACGCCCCTGAAGCTCACCCCTCAAAAAACAATTTCCTATCATCCCCAAATTCTATGTGCATTCAATTCTGTGTTCTTCAGGTCATGTGATTATGGTGAGAGCTTGTCTGTGGGTTCCCAAGACCAGGAGACCCAGCATGAGAAAAAAGACTCCTTCTGAATAAAGGCAAAATGTAGTTCTGACAGGCAGATGCAGTGACTGAAGCCAGACACCTTAGCCCACAGTGCTTTAATATTAGACATCCCACCTCCAGAACTGTGTGCCCTCTTTATAAAGTCCAATCTAGGGCACTCTGTCACATCATCCAAAAACAATGAACCAATTCTAGTACACTTTGCTACTGGATTTTAAAAACAAGAGTCTCAGTGTAGTCTAGGCAGACCTGGAACTCACTATGTAGCCAAAGCTGTCCTCAAACTCATGCCAATCCTCCTGTCTCAGCCTCTCAGTTTGGCTGAGATTACAAGTGTGAGCCAAAATACCTAGTTTCCAAATTATTTTTTTGGTGGGGGAGGGGTAAACTATCCATAACATTTAAACAAATGATGTGTATGTATGTATGTATATGCACACATGCATGTAGGTGCCTGGGCATGCTAGAAAAGGCTATTGGATCCCCTGGAGCTGGAGTTACAGACAGTTGTGAGCTGCCAGACATGGAGGGTGGAATTCAGCTCTTCTGGAAGAACAGCAAATGCTCCTAACTGCTAAGTTACCTCTCCGACCCACAAAATAATTGGAAATAAAAAGATGGGAGGGCATAGTGCTTGATTTCAAGACTTCTGATAAATGAATGAAAATGAAGACATGACCATTGCAAGGGTATGCTTGTGGAGAAGGTTTTATTGTAGATATGAGGGAGAGAACAGCCAGAGGCATCTGGAAGAGCCCAGACAGAACATGGCCAGCACAACAGAGCAGACCATGAGAGGAGAGGGAAGGGCAAGAGAGGAGACCAGGAGCCAAGAGTGGAGAACCAAGGGAGGCTGTGGCCAAAATGGCAGATTTTTATAAGAATCAGAAGCTGGGGGAAGGGAAGCAAAGCTCAGGATCTGGAGAGGTTTAGAGTTGGGGGTGGGGGAAAGAAGAGCAAAGAGGAGCCTGGACTCTGTAAAAGTACTCATGATGCTGAGAAAGGCTGGAGGCCAGTGTGCACTTCAATCTGTTAAATAGGTATCACTGTTAGCCATTTGTCCTGGGTTTCTTTGGGACCTGAGAACAAAGGTATAGTAAGACAGTGTAATTTTGGTGAAAGGGTTAAAAGATCATTAGAACAGAATGCTACTGAAATAGAGCCATGTTGAAATGATTAGTCATATGCAAAAGTATAAAGTAGTTTGGGAGAAAATTATGATGTTGTAATAATCAAGTATCCATATTGGAAATAATGAGCTTGGCCTATGTCTCACACTTTATGCAACAACTAATTTTAAATGTATCATGGACCTATTGATGAACCAGCCTGCTTCCATCTTAAGCTTAAAAGACATCTTATAGTAAGGACAAAATAGGCTCATTCCTGTTTATGATGAAATCTCTGTTTCTCAAGAACTGGGCAGTGCCACACCTGTATAATCTTAAGTGCAAACTGTTTTGTACTGCCTATTCCAGGCAATGGCAGCCATCTATGTCTTTGTTCCAAATAACCATCTTGCAACCTTATCTTTGTTTCAGAAGGTTGTTATGACTGCTTGTTGTAATGTCTACCTTGTTATGACCACCTTGCCATCATGTCTTTGTTTCAGGTCAAGGTCATCATGACCAACTTGTTATGCTTATGTTCTGCTCCTGTAACCAGACTATTTTGCCTGCCAAATCCCTGATTGGGAAACTCCCTACCCCTGAGCTATAAGAACATTGTCTTCCTCATATACAATGCTGAACTCTTGAATCTCACCTTATGGGGAGGCAGCCCATGTATACAAATAAAAAAGCTTGCTTTAATTAATTGCTTGTTTTAATTAATTTGGCCTTGATGATTGGGTCAGTGGTATTTCTCCTCCCATCTTTGGGATTAACATTATGGCTTATAAATGTTCGTGGAAGCCTTATAAGCATCTAATTCATCAATGCATGAGCAACTGTGACAATCATAAAACAAAATTCTGCTTTCAAAGCAAAACTCAGGGCTCATCTCAGAAGAATAAGAGACAGCTTATTATGAATCAAATATGAGTGACCATTGCCTGGGAATGGGATGCCTCAAATACCGTGTTGCAGTGTGAGAGCGGTTACATGAACCTTTGTAGTTACAAAACAATGGCCATAATTAAGGAAATTCCAAATACATTGGTGGGAACATCAGATAAGTGGATTTCAACAAAGCGGAGGAGTCTCTGCAATAGGGGTTATCTGATGACATCTTTCCTTTGGGCTTGTCATAATTAATGGCTTGAGAAGTTAGTACATTTCAAAGGTTTTACCTGATAAAAGGTTATTAGGTCAGATGCAGCAGTGGGCAGTAAATGGCTATTAAGAGAGCTAATGATAGTCCAAGATAAATCTGTCTCTAGTTCTGGATATCCTTAGCTTTAGGAAAGTCTCCTAGGATCTGATGAAGTTGAGGATGAGCATGCAGAAGAAGTTTCTGGGGTCAGAGAGGAAAGCCTCCAGATCTTGTTAGCATTATTAATCCTCTTGATCTGGGTCTGATCTTGTTTCCATTTTCTACCCTCCTTATCTGACATAATATTTAGAAGTAATGTATAACATGAGTATTATACCCAGTGTTGAAATTCTCAAGAACACAGTGTCACCTAAAGAAGTAAAGATAGTAAATGAGGGAAACGAGCATTTTAACCAAGCAAGAATCAAATCAGACTCTTCTAACAAATTGTAGGGTGGTGAAAAATAGAAGTGCTGGAAATAAAAAACTCAATGAACCAAATATGAAACAGTGGGAAGTATAATAGGTTCTACCAAACAGAAGAAAGAAGACTGTAGATTGGAGTTCAAGGTTGGTAAGTACTGCATTCACATATGAAAGAAAAGAATAAATAAAGGACCATAGCCACATTGTCCAAGAACTCTGAGATACAACAAAGAGACCAAACCTAAGAATCTATAAGATGGAGGAAAGAGTTGAAATAAACATTAAAGTAATAGCTTCTGTGGAATTATAGCAGAAATATTCCAAAACTTTGGAGAAAGGAATATAATTTAGGGCATTGAGAACCCCAAATAGAAATTGCCAGAGAAGAACATTTCCAAAACATGTCAGGATATACAAAGCAAAGAGATACTAAAAGCCATAAGGGAAAATACTACGTCACCTACAAAGGTAAGAACAGCAGAATAATATCAGATCTGTCATCAACCTTCAAAGTCAAGGAATGAAACCTTGAGACTAAACAACTGTCAACAACATTGCTATATCCATCAAAGCTATTTCTCAAAATTGATGGAGATGGCTGGGGAAATGGCTCTGTGGCTAAAGGCCCTGACTGCTGGGGCTGGTGACCTGATTTTGATTCACAGGATACACTTGTAGAAAGATAGAAATGACTACCACAAGTTGTCCTCTGATTTCCACGTGAGTACCATGGGATGTGTGGTATATTAGGTAAATTTAAAGAAGAAGAAGAGGAGGAGGAGGAATACAAATGGTCAATAAACATTTTTAAATGTCCAACTTCACTAGTCATCAGAGAAATGCAAGTTAACACTACCTTGAAATTTGACCTCACCCCAGTCAGCAAATAAAATCCTACCAAAAAACAAAGGGAAGAAAAGGCTGGTGAGGATTTGGGGAAAGACAAACACTCACCGTTGGTGGGAATGTAAACTGATGCAGCCACTATGGAAATCAGTGTAGAAGTTTCTCAAAGAGTGAATTATAGGACTACCATATGGCCTAGTTAATCACTTCTGGATATTTACCCAAAGTCTATACTATATTCTACCTATCTGTGTTCTTTGATGTTCTGTTCACAATAGCTAGGAAGTGCTATCAGCCTACAAATCTATTCACTGATGAGTGGGTAATGATAATGTACATATACACAATAGAATTCTATTCTTTACTAAAGAAAAATGAAGTTATGAAAATGAATGGACCTAGAAAATATACCAAGTGATGGACCTGGAAATACAAAATACTGTTCTCTCTCATACGAAGATACTTTGAGATTCTCAGATTTGTGTGTTTAAGTTGGAATGAGTACTTGTAAAGGACAGGAAACAAGAAAGGATCCTTGAGATGCTGAGAGGAGTTTCTGGGAGTTGGGGGAGAGCAAACATACATACGATGTGAAAGGAGAGTTGGAGAGAGCAGAGTGGTTTAAATGGGTATGGGCTAGAGGGATGGTGAAAGTTGGGGTGAGGGTCAAACAAAACTAAAAATGGATGAAAAGCCCATATGGAAATCTGCTACTATATAAACTAGAACATACAATTTTTAAAAAGTCTAACATGACTTGATAATACAGCTCCCAGAAGACATTTTTTAAAAAATAAAAACCCCAGTGCCAGATGTGGGATACTTCCCTATGAGTTGTTAGCCAGAGAACCCCAGAGGCTTCTAAAACAATATAGGCTATCACCATTGTTTACTAGAACTAGATGGTAAGACCGTATTGCTGAAGATAACATATACTTTGGATATAGGACACAGAGAAATCAACCTAGAACCTAGCCGAAAGCTTTCTTCCTGCTAGCTAGAATTCATAGGGCCAGAAGGTTCTATGCAGGCTGCTGGGGAGAAAAATCACTGTTCTTTCCCAGCTGTTTACCCTGTGTGCTACCATATGGACTTGCCAGACAAGATGTACCCACTGGTCCAGCAGTGACAGCAGTGTTTTGGTGTTAACCAACTGTTGTGATAAAGAATGGAATCTGGGCTGGTTGGTGGTTTGAATAAGAATGACCCCCATAGGCTCAAATATTTGAATGTTTGCTTCCCAGTTGGTGGAACTGTCTGGGAAGCATCAGGAAGTATGCTGTTAAAGGAGGTATGTCACTGGGGTGGGCTCTGAGGTTTCAAAAGCCCATACCATTCCCTGTTAGCTTTTTTTCTGCCTTCTACTTTTGGATCAGGATATAAACTTAGCAAATACTGCTTCAGCAGCATGCCTGCCTGCTTGCCTGCCATGCTCCCTGCCATAAGACTTACTCTCTAGAACCATGAGCCCCAATAAATCCTCTCCTCTGCAAGTTGCCTTGGTCATGGTGCTTTGTCACAGCAGTAGAGCAGTAATGAAGACAGCTGGAGAGATGGCTCAGCAGTGAAGGGTGCATACTGCTATTGCAAAGGACCTGGGTTCAGTTCCCAGCTGCATATCAAGCAGCTAACAGCTGCCTAGGACTTCAACTTCTGAGGCATCCAATGCCTCTGTGGTTTCTGCAGGCACCAGCACTGCTGCACATATCCCTTATATATGCACATAATTAAAAAGAATACATCTTTTAAAAAAGAGAATAGATTCTAGCATTAAGTAGAAACAAGCAATTGTCTTCTTCCTTAAGAGTTAATCCAGTTGGGCAGGTCCATGACCTTGACAAAGGATCACCCCCCTCCAAGGAAGGCAGGACCACACCTAGGAAGGTGAGCTCACCTTAAGCCATGCTCAGTAGACAGGCATAATAACTGTTTCATTACTGAGATAATGTACCTTTCCTTCCCAGAATTCTCATCTCTTAGTGCAGTACCTTGAGGTTGGCTGGTCAGCCCATCTTTCCAAGTTAGGAGTAACTATTTCTTTTTTCTTCTTGTCTTTTACATTCAGATGCTGACCAGAGTCTGGTTTTTATTTTGTACATTGGACACTGGACTTCTTTACTTTTTCTGAAGCTCCCTGGTCCCCATCATGTGGGTGACTATGGTGGATGGCTCTTATGTGTGCATGACCTCTGCATCAGTTTACTTCAAAGGATGTAGCTTTTTTTCTTTTTCTTTCTTCACTCTCCTTTTCTGGGCAGCTGCTGAGATTTACACCTTTTCAAAACATTATTTCCAAGTTAGCAATTTCATTGTTTTTCTTAGATGTTTTAAAATTCCAATTGGAGTAGGCTACCCGTTATCTTTTGCTTTATTGTGTAGGAGTTCTAGTTTAGTGTGAAAAAAATACATTAAAAAAAAAAGAAACCAGTTTAGGAATATCAATTGTGTCCTGTTGAAGAAAACATAAAGCCAAGTTACCTTTAGAATTCCCCATTTCCCCAAGTACTTGGAAGTTGAATTATAATAACTAATACTTTTTTCCACTGTGGAATTTCCATTACCACTTCTGCTGGAGGCATCTTTTCTCCTGAAATCCAGAATCTTCTATGATAGCTGGTGGGATCTGGATCAAAGATTTATATCCTGCTTAAGGGGTTAGACCCCTTGGGTCTCATCCTGAGGTGGTTTCTTCCCATTCTATCCCAGGTTTATCCTGTACACAGGTGTACAGGGAACATGAGGGAGATTAAGGCCCTTGGTGATTATCCTTCATGTATGCCTCCCTGATGAGCCAAGAGAGTTCTCTCTAACTCTTGTCTTTGAGAAAAAGGTATTTTGTCTTGGCTTTCCATGTGAGGCTGTTGCATGTTTTAGGGGAGGGAGTCCCCCATGTCCTCTCCATCCTGTTGAGCTGGAAAGATCAAGGGCCTCTTGCCTTCAGTACATCAAAAGAAGACACTCCTAGACTTTACAGACTGAAAGAAGTAAGGTTATACAGGAGAGGACACACACAACACTGGAGTGTTAGAGGATTGGCAGTAGGAAGAGGCCAAATATTAGCAAGCAAATGCTGTGAGAACCAAAACTTGGAACAGCTAGAACACCCCAAACCATCTCTGAATAAATCAGTTGGCTATGGACCAAAACAAAAATGGAGTCCCTGCATCAGAAAAAAAAAAACTAACATTCACCTGAGCAGGCAACGAGGATGGTTGGGGAGAAAGAGTCCTGTAATGGTACCCAGCACCAAGCCAAGTGACTTTTCTGTGAAAGTGGATCATCCCTGGGGCCTCATGACTGGATGTCA